CGAAAAAAATTACTAACTATATCGTAAACAAACAAAAGTGATGATTTTGTACCAATACTAAATTATCAACCAACTAAATATATATATATATGCGTAAATTAATAAAAATAATTATAATATATACATAAAAGTATTACATGCGTAATATGCATATATGCTATAATATATATATTATATAATATGGATAATAAAATAGATATATATTCTACATACTATGTATAACCTATATATATACTACACTTAAATAATATAATATATATGTTTACAAAATATATTATATACCGTTTATGTTTACAATCTACAAAGTAAATGACATAAAATATATTATGGGAATTACCATATTTTTAATATATAATATAAAGGTAAAGTAAACATACATAAAATATATATATAAGACACCACAATCAACGTGGGTCAGTCAACAAAGCTATCACATAATTAATAGAATCTGACTTTAAACATATGGCACAATGATCAACACTAGCTAAAAAACACTCTTATCGCTAAAGTTAAAAGGATTTGATACTAAATATAGGGATTAAATATACAATTTTACCAATTATTTATCTCAACCAATATTAATGAAATAAGAATAAAAATTACACAATCAGGACAACAATTTCGAAACTAAAATATAAAAACTCAAACTCGATGACTAAAGTGCAAATACGCAATGAATGTAGGGGGATTAAACTATGATTAAATAAAAATTTATAAAACATAAAGAAAAATGGAAAATAATGAAAATGGTCCCTACCAGTGACTATTTTGTAAAACACACTAAAATTAGAGGCATTTAAGATGCAATTATACCATTAAAATAGCCTATATATACCACCATTTTATCCTTTTTTTTGTTTCATTTTCACTTGGTTTCATAAAAAAATGAGAGAAGTTCTCTCAATCTTTAACCGGTCACTCACCGGCCAACCCAACTCTTCGTTCGGCCGCCATTCCAGCCACCACACACGGTGGTCGGAGCTCCAAAATTCACCCAAAAAGACCCCAAAGCCTAGATCTACTACCCTAGGCACCAAACTAAACCTAAAAACTCCCTAAACAAACACGAACAACCATAAATCTAACCTCGACTGTTCAATATCCTCGAACTCGACAGCCGTGAAGGCTCCCTCCGATTCAAGTAAGCTACTGACCGACTCTCTTTTAGACTCACATATATATATTTTTTGTATGCAAAGAGTTTATTTCTATGTTTTCGAAACTAAAAAATATACCTTGAAAATAACTCTATTTTTTTATTGCTTTTCGAATATGGGAACCCTTCTCTTTTTACATTTTTCGTTCAGGTTATATAGTCGATTCTACAATAGGTTTTTACTTTCTTTTTTCTTGTTTTTTCTGAAACATCATTAGTGAAGTAAAAAAATAGATTGAAATCACGGGTTTGTCTTGGTCTTGATGTTTGACTTGTGAATCCAGTTGTCAGTTGGTGGAGAAGACTGTGATGGTGCCAGATTAGGTGGCCTGGGCTCGATCTGGACCGTTGGATGGGTCCAAATCGGACGGCTCTTGCAAGGCGACGACAGTATCCAAGGTGGAAATCTTAACTTAGGGTTGATCTGGTCCCTCCATCTTTCATTCGATCAGACGGCTAGGATTAGGTGGCTGCCTTAGAACATGATAAAACCCTAGTTGGTGTTGGGTTTTCATCCTTAGGTTTGTTGGACTATAATTTGGGTTTGAGGTATTTAGGCCGGATCTGTAAATAAAAATATTATTTTAGTAATCTTAAATAATAATAATAATAATAATAACTTAATAATAACGAGACGAAAAAATCAAGTGTCGACAGCTGCCTTTCTTTGCTCATTCTTGTGTCAACATGAATAGGGCAAAGACGAAGAGACAACACATTTTTCATCCGGTCAACTTCAAGGTTTTAATTATGATAAATGATCAGTTCCGCTGTCACTCAGGGAATATCAAATCTGGGGATGAGAGGGATTTGTTTCGATTCTTCTAAAGGGGATATCAGATTTGGGGAAGTTGATCCATTGAATCGTGGTAGACTTATTTCGTTATCACTCAGGGAAAATCAAATCTTGGAATAGAGTGATCTGTTCCACTTCTTCTAAGGGAATATCAGATCTGGAAGAGTTGATCCATTGAATCAGGGTAGACTTGTTCTACTGTTACTCAGGGAATATCAAATCTTGGAATAGAGTGATTTGTTCCACTTCTTCTAAGGGAATATCAGATCTGGAAGAGTTGATCCATTGAATCGGGGTAGACCTGTTATCCTGTCACTCAGGGAATATGAAATCTTGGAATAGAGTGATCTATTCCACTTTTTCTAAGGGAATATTAGATATGGAAGAGTTAATCCATTGAATCGGGGTAGACTTGTTCCACTGTCACTCAGGGAATATCAAATCTTGGAATAGAGTGATCTGTTCTATTTCTTCTAAGGGAATATCAGATCTAGAAGAGTTGATTCATTTCGCTGTCACTCAGGGAAGATTGGATCGGATTTGATTTGTTTTTCTTTTCTTTAAGAACATTAAACCTTAAAATTAAACATTAACCTTGTTTAGTACATATTTGAGGATTCGAAAACATCATACCTAAAAGTTTCGGGAAGATATTCTTTAGAAGCGATTTCTCTTGCGGGAGCTTGTCTTGCCACCGCCACACATGGAAATCTAAACTGGTTATTTTTATGTTGGGTCCTTACATCTCTATCTTTTTCTTTTAGAGAACCTGCAAGTACTCGATTTGCATTTACCATTATTACGCATTTCATGTCATGACCTTATTTATGCCTAAAATGCGTGCAATGATGCAATTATTTTGAGGGCATTTTCTTTTCAAACGAGAAACTTCTTTTGATGATGGCCTTTGTACTTCATTCTAATTTGGGTACGAGAAAATCAACATCAATTTCCCGATTGACAACTCTAGTTTGACACTCTTTGGTTGAATCTAACTCTGATTCTCTTTACTCTTTAAACCCGTGTGCTTCTCATGACTAGCTATTTGATTAATGACAAGATTTTTTTCATTATCCCATATTGCTAAGCCTTTGCGTTATTATAAGACCTTAATTTCTTATGGCCCACCATCGCGTAAACCTCATACTAAGATCATTTTCAGCTTCGGAATACATGTATTTTTCAAAACTTTTCGTACAATAATGCACGATGATCTCATATTTCCCGAGCTAATCTACATGTATTCATTTTTTAATTAGGATGCTTGCAATGTGGAAAAAGACCTTTCTTATTTAAAATTAAAGATTTGTTTTTGGTAAATACATGGCAAACTTTTAACTAGAATAATCAAAATAAAACATAGTATGCGTCATCAGATATCAATAGTACGAATGCTTTTGAACAGGCACGCCGTAGGAAGACCCGAGTGTAGCTTCTGTCGAGGGGATCTTGAGGATTGTGGTAATGCGTAAGGGTGTGAAGTTCCCCTGTACTACCAAATTCCCTACTGTTGGATATCGTAAGCCAGTGTTTGAATCTCGTTTACTTTCTTGTTACCCAAACTTTGCGATTTCCAACCCTTTCTTTGATTACCATTTCAAATATTCAAAACTAATTCAGAATTTCTGCCATGCACGAATTCTGAATTTACACAATTCTCAAGCCGCCCTTTATGTGTTTTCAACCTGATACCTTTTATGGTTTGAAAACACCCGTTACAATCATCTTAAACCCTCTTTTTATTTTATTTTTCTTTTTCTTTTTTTTCTCTTTTTTTCTTTCCTTTTTTCTTTTCTTTTTCATTTTTATAGTCTTTTTCATTTTTTTAGGAAAATTCTTCTTGACTGCATCATCATTCACAGGGTTAGGTCACTCTGGTCCATCCATCTCGGTGAGGATCAAAGCTCCTCCAGAAAATGCCTTCTTTTCCACATAAGGTCATTCCCAATTTGGCATCCATTTACCTCGAAAGTCTTTCTGAATTGACAAAATCTTTCTTAGCACCAAATATCATTCTTAAAACTCTCGTGGGTGAACTTTTTTATTATGTGCCCTTATCATACGTTTCTGGTACATTTGCCCATTGCATATAACTTTTAATCATTTTTCCTCATTCAGATTCAACTAATCATACCTAGCTTGCACCTATTCTGCTTCATCTAGCTTAACCTCTTACAACACTCGTAGTGATGGAATCTCAACCTCGATGGGTAGCACAACCTCCATCCCATAAACTAAAGAAAATGGAGTTGCCTCAGTGGACTTTCTCACTGAAGTTCGATAGGCAAACAGAGCGAATGGTAGCTTCTCATGTCAGTCTCTATAAGTCTCAGTCATTTTCTTTATGAGCCTCTTGATGTTCTTATTGGCTGCCTCTACCGCTCCATTCATCTTTGGGCGATAAGTGGTGGAATTATGATGTTTAATCTGGAATTGTTTACATACTGACTTCATCGTCTTGTTGTTTAAATTCAAGGCATTGTCAGTGATGATCCTTTCTGGTAACCCATACCGATAAATAATTTCTCTCTTCAAGAACTTGCAATCTGTTGACTGAGTAACATTTGCATAGGAGGCTACTTCTACCCGCTTAGTGAAGTAGTCTATTGCCACGAATATGAAACAATGGCCATTAGAAGCTTTGGGTGAAACTTGCCCAATGACATCTATGACCCACATAGAGAATGGCAATGGAGTAGTCATTACATGCAATGGATGAGGAGGGGTGTGGAGCTTATCTCCATAAATATGTTATTTATGACATTTTCTGGCGTAATTGATACAATCGATTTCTAGGGTTGACCAATAATACCCAAATCTCATTATTTGTTTAGCCATTTCATGTCCATTAGCATGGGTATCGTATACTCCTTCATGCACTTCTTCAATGATCATTTTAGCTTCTTTGGCATCCATACGTCACAAAAAGACCTGATCATGACTTTTCTTATACAGGATCTCGCCATCAAGCACATATCCTGCGCCCATTCTTCAAATAGTTATTTTGTCATTTTCAGTGGCATGCTCGGGGTAACTTTGATATCTGATTTATTGCAAGATGTCGTAATACCAGGGATTTAAATCCTCTTCCTCTTCTATGCTATAGCAATGGGCTGGATACCCATAAGCTTGCATTGTAATAGGAATCATGCTTGAATGTTCATTGACTTTGAAGGCTGCTACCAAAGTGGCCAGGGCATCCGCCATTTGATTATCTTCTCTAGGGAGGTAATGGAATGTCACATTCTCAAATTCTTTAATGAATTCCAGGATCAATTTACGGTATTCCACCAACTTCACATCCTTTGTTTCCTATTCACCTCTGAGTTGATAAATTACCAGGGCTGAATCCCTGTATACTTTGAGTTTTTCCACTTTACACTCAATGGCATCTCTAAGACCCAAGATGCATGCTTCATACTCGGCCATGTTATTCGTACAATCAAATTTCAATCGGTTGGTAAAAGGATAGTTCTTTCCACTATGTGAGACCAAAATTACCCCAATTCCGTGCCCCAAGGCGTTCAAGGCACCATCGAAATTCATCTTCCACTGTTCATTAGTAGAGGCAACTTCCTCTTCAGTTGAAATAGCCATTAAATCTTCGTTCGAAAAATCAAAGTTCAGTGGTTCATACTCTTCAGAAGCCCTACTTGCAATGAAATCAGACACAACACTTCCTTTAACTGCTTTTTGGCTTATATATTGGATGTCAAATTTAGACAATAAGATTTGCCAACTAGACAATCTTCCAGATAAAGCAGGTACACCCATTAGATATTTCAGAGGATCAAGTTTAGATATCTTCCAAGTAGTATGATACAACATATACTGCCTGAGCCTTCGGGTAGTCCAAACTAAAGCACAACACAAATTTTCTATTAGTGAGTACCTCGTCTTGCAATCAGTGATCTTTTTGCTGAGGTAGTAGATTGCTCTTTATCTTTTCTCAGTTTGGTCATGCTGCCCTAATACGCACCCCATTGAATTCTCAAAGATTGACAAGTAGAGGATTAATACTTTGCCTGATATTGGTGGTATTAAGACTGGAGCATTCGACAAATATTCTTTTATTGCTTCAAAAGCTCCTTGGCAATCATCGTTCCACACCCCTGGGTTATTTTTATGGAGAAGGCGAAAAATGGGATCGCACTTCTCAGTTAATTACGAAATAAGACAAGCAATATAGTTTAATCTTCCTAGGAATCCTCGAATTTCTTTTTGTGTTTATGGGGGTGGTAAATCCTGAATAGCTTTGACCTTGCCAGGATCTACTTCAATCCCTTTTTTGCTTACTACAAACCCCAAGAGTTTTCCCGATGTTACCCCAAAGGTACACTTGCTTGGATTGAGTTTTAATTGGAATTTCCTTAATCTTTGGAAGAGTTTCCTCAGATTCTCGATGTGTTCTTCCTCCATTTTATCTTTAACAATCATATCATCGACATAGACCTCTATTTCCTTATACATCATGTCATGGAATAGTGTTATCATAGCCCTTTGATAAGTTGCTCCTGCATTCTTTATCCCAAACGACATCACCTTGTAACAGAACGTGCCCCACATAGTGACAAATGTAGTTTTTTCCATTTCATCTGGATGCATCTTTATTTGATTGTAACCTGAAAACCCATCCATAAACGAAAATAGAAAGTTTACAGTCGTATTGTCCTCCAGGGTGTCTATATGTGACAAAGGGAAATTATCTTTCGGACTGGCCCGATTAAGATCTCTGTAGTCGATGCACATGCAGACTTTCTCATCTTTATTTGGTACTGGAACGGCGTTTTCTACCCATTGTGAAAACTTGGCTACTTTTAGGAACCCATCATCAAATTGTTTCTTTACTTCTTCTTTAATTTTAAGTAGCATTTTGGGTCGCATCCTTCTGAGCTTTTGTTGTACCGGTTTACATTCAGGCTTTATTGGCAACTTATATACCACTAACTCATTGTCTAAACTTGGCATGTCCTCATACGCCAAGCAAACATATCTCTGTACTCTCGAAGTAGCTCAATCAGTTTTTTTTGTCCCTCAGCTGATATGATTGTGCCAATTTTTATCTCATTTTTATCTTCCTCTGATCCTAGATTCAAGATCTCAATGGGCTCTTCATGAGGCAAAATTTGTTTATCTTCTCTCTCTACCATTTTCAGTAGTTCAAAAGGTAAGTCGCTTCCCTTATCACTATCATAACCTCCAATTTACCCTTGACATATGGGCATCTCGAAATCTATCTTCGGGTCAGAGTCATCTGCATTCATACAATTGATACCAGAGGTCCTGAAAGAATAATGAACGAGAGGATATATATACATATACAAATACAAGAGGATCTATCCCATATCAAAATAGAATGAAATAATAATATATAATAAATAAATAATGAGAAAAATGCAAAGGATGATGTTTGCCATTTCGTGAATTAACATGAATGCATCATTTATTAAAATAAAAAACAGATAGATTAACCCCTTACAGAAAATCACTTATTGTCCCGGGGTTTAGACAATAGTGAAAGTTTTTGTGCATTACTCTGAAACAGTTTTGTGAACTACAAGTAATTCTTCTACAGTCCAATTGTTTAGCACAAAGCCTGGTGGTGCGGGGTAGATGCCCATAGCCATTCCATCTTCGATTCATTCCTCCGATATCACATTTATACCCAAATTCCTCAGGGCATTTTCAATAACATGCTCTTTAGATAATCGCCCCCTGAAACATGTGGCCCCCCTGATATGAAGATGTTACACAGCGCTGAGAAAATCATGGGCTCCCACTTAATATCCTCTCCGGCTAACCTGGTTTTTCTCCTTTCCTATCTCTTTTGAACATTTTTCAACTTTTCTTTTAAGGTCGGGCAATATCCCAGGCCAAAACGATCTCGCTTAATATTGGGAAAAACTGGACTAATATTTCCCTATAAGCGACTTCCAAGCCCTCTCCCAACCTTGGCTCCTCTTCCCAGAGTCATTTTCAGTTCCATTTTGGTACAGTTGGACAACCTTGGCTTTGGAATTTTCTTTCTTTCTTTCAGCAACAAAGGTAACATTAACGAATTCCAAGGCTCTGAAAGAGCACTCAACCGCATCTTTATCTACTTCGACATATGGGGCGGTAGTAGATATGGAAGCAATGATATCTTCCTCGACATTAAGGCATACCAGTCTCCCCTCAATTACAAATTTGAGTTTCTGATGCAGAGTGGATGGCACGGCTCATGCCTGGTGGATCCAAGGCCTTCCTAACAAGCAGTTATAAGAGGGTATTATATCCATTACAAGGAATTCGACCTCGTAGGTTGATGGGCCTATGGTTAGAGGAATATCGATCTTCCCCAGTACCTCCTTCTTTGTTTAGTCGAAAGCTCTAACAATGCTTTGGCAATTTCTCATATGTGTACTGTCGACTGGAAGTTTCTTCAAGGTTATTAATGGCATCACATTCAGGGCAGATCCATTATCGATCAGTACTCGTGATAACACATGTCCCTTGTATTTGATGGTAATGTGTAGGGCTTTGGGGTTGCCCATCATTCCGGACGGGATCTCGTCATCAGAGAAAGAGATGAAGTTATCTGCCTGAATATTTGCAACTAGTCGATCTATCTTTTCTACTGGCATATCTTTCGGTACGAAAATCTGATTCAAGACTTTCAGCAAGGCATTTCGATATGCCTTAGAGCTTAATAGTAGAGCCAGGATCGAGATACGAGCTGGCAACTTGTGTAGTTATTCGACGATGTTGTACTCGTTATGCTTCAAAAAATTTAAAAACTCCACAGCCTCGTTCCTGGTTACTGACTTCTTAATTGTTGGCTCATCATCTTTCAGCAATATCTCAACCCTTTGCCCTTTATCAACGGCCGCTCTTTTCTCGGGCTCACTGGTCTGGTTAGGAGAATAACATCTCCCACTCCTGGTAAAGTGGCCTACCTCATTCACCTCTTCCTTAGTAGCCTCTGAGCTTTCAACATTCTCTAGTTGGCATCCATACCTCCAAGGGACCTGCTTGTTGTCCTTATAAGTAAAGGACGACGGAAGTGTAATCACCATTTTAGGGATTAACCTTTCCATAGTTCGGGCTTTCGGTATGATGGCCAAAGGGCAGTTAGTATTGTAAAGTCCTTTGGATGTACCTTTGGAAGCGTAAATCTCTACCTCTTTCTCTTTCTTAGCTTCATTGTAAAATTCCATGTCTTTACTATCCATCAGCCTTTGAACCAAGGCCTTGAACTCATCACAATATTGAATGGCATGATCCTCACAATGGTGGTAACTTAATCTCATCAGCATTAAAGGTCAACCAGCCTACTTTGACCATTTGCCCCCACACCCAATGCATGGGTGACTTCACTTCATTGACTTTGGTTATAACTTCATTCCCTCTTTCTTCAATAATAGCATTAACCCCTGCCGTTGCATGGTTCGATAGTGGATTCTGAGCCATATTAGGCTGCTCGCTGTCACTGAAGTTGATGACATTTCTTTATCTTAATCTCTACACCAACTTTTTAAAGGCTAGAAAGTTTTCAAATTAATGCCCTGATGCCCCCGCATGATACTCACATTAAGTATTGATGTAAAACCATTTTGGGTAAGGAGGCTGCATTGGAGAAGTGTGGTAAGGTGACACCACATGTTTGTTATACAGGATCTGGAATAGTTCTTTATAGGTCATAGGGATGGGGTCAAATTGAACCCTTTCCCTTTCTTATCATGGTTCTTTCACCCCTTGCTTAACAGGATTTAGTGCAGACGATGTGGTGGCTTGAGGTCGGGATACTGTAATCTTATTAGAATCATATTTCTTCACATTACTGACCTCATTATCATTCCTTCTTGCTGGAGGTTTTCGGCTAGATTCTCCCCCGTCTAGCTTCCCGCTTTTAATCGCCATCTCAATCATTTCTCCTACATTGACTATATAAGCAAAATTCTTGAACGAATTTCCAATAAGATGCCCAAATAATGGGGCCCTGAAAGTATTTACAAAAAATATTAGTTTCTTCCTCCTCTAATGGTGGATGAACATGCACAACTATATCTCTCCACCTTTGGACATACTGCCTGAAGCTCTCGTTGGATCTCTTTTCCATACTCTATAACAAATTCGGTTTGGCCTCACATCTTTTACGTGTTTATATTGCTCTAGAAAAGCCTTAGCCAAATCCTTCCATGATTTAATCTGAGCCCGACTTAGCTGGTTATACCAACGGATTGCTGAGCATGTCAGGCTTTCTTGAAAATGATGAATTAATAGTTGATCATCTCTCACATAGCCTGTCATTTTTCTTCAAAACATGGTAATATGTGTAGAAGGACAACTGGTGCCATCAAATTTCTCGAAATCTGGAACTTTGAACTTTAGTGGAAGTACGAAATCAGGGACCAAACTTAGCTCTCTGGCATCAATCCCATATAAGCTAGCATCTTCTTTCATAGCTCGGAATTCATGCTTCATTTGTTCCCATTCTTCCTTAAGCTCCTTATCATGTTCTTTTTTGTTTTCCTCATCCAAATCAGAGACGTCTTCAATTGGTTGCGTGCTTATAGAAGAGCCAGGTAGGTTCACTTGTATTCTTTCTGATTGTGCAG